TTGCCTAACACGCAATAGGTCCCCAGTTAGAAACTGGGTGGAAACAACATGAAGGAGCTCTTTCTGAAAATACACTGTGGTAATTTGTTTTTGGACATTAAGGAATTTAACCATTGTGCTATTTTATCCAAAATGATCAAAAAAAAAAAAAGAAAATTAAAACAGTGTAGGTTTCCGTAGTGTAGTGGTTATCATGTTTGCCTAACACGCAAAAGGTCCCCAGTTCGAAACTGGGCAGAAACAACAAGAAGGAACTTTTTCTGAAATTCCACTGTGGTATTTTGTTTTTGGACATTAAGGAATTTAACTTTTGTGTTATTTTATCCAAAATGATTTGAAAAAAATGTGAAAATTACAACAGTGTAGGTTTCCGTAGTGTAGTGGTTATAACGTTTGTCTAACACGCAATAGGTCACCAGTTCGAAACTGGGCAGTAACAGCAAGAAGGGATTTTTTTCTGAAAATCTATTGTGGTATTTTTTGTTTTTGGACATTAAGGAATTTAACTTTTGTGTTATTTTATCCAAAATGATTTGAAAAAAATGTGAAAATTACAAATGCGTAAGTTTCCGTAGTGTAGTGGTCATCACGTTTGCCTTACATGCAGAAGGTCCCCAGTTCGAAACTGGGCGGAAACAACAAAAAGAAACTTTTTTCTGAAAATCTATTGTGGTATTTTTTGTTTTTGGACATTAAGGAATTTAACTTTTGTGTTATTTTATCCAAAATGATCAAAAAATATATGAAAATTATAACGGTGTAGGTTTCCGTAGTGTAGTGGTTATCACGTTTGCCTTACACGCAATAGGTCCCCAGTTCGAAACTGGGCGGTAACAGCAAGAAGGAATTTTTTCTGAAAATCTACTGTGGTATTTTGTTTTTGGACATTAAGGAATTTAACTTTTTGCGTTATTTTATCTAAAATGATCAAAAAAAATATGAAAATTAGAACAGTGTAGGTTTCCGTAGTGTAGTGGTCATCACGTTTATATGCAAAAGGTCCCCAGTTCGAAACTGGGTGGAAACAACAAGAAGGAACTTTTTCTGAAATTCCACTGTGGTATTTTGTTTTTGGACATTAAGGAATTTAACTTTTGTGTTATTTTATCCAAAATGATAAAAAAAAAATGAAAATTAGAACAGTGTAGCTTTCCGTAGTGTAGTGGTTATCATGTTTGCCTAACACGCAATAAGTCCCCAGTTAGAAACTGGGCGGAAACAACATGAAGGAGCTCTTTCTGAAAATCTACTGTGGTAATTTGTTTTTGGACATTAAGGAATTTAACTTTTGTGCTATTTTATCCAAAATGATCAAAAAAAAAATGAAAATTAGAACAGTGTAGTTTTCCGTAGTGTAGTGGTTATCATGTTTGCCTAACACGCAATAGGTCCCCAGTTAGAAACTGGGCGGAAACAACATGAAGGAGCTCTTTCTGAAAATCTACTGTGGTATTTTGTTTTTGGACATTAAGGAATTTAACTTTTGTGTTATTTTATCCAAAATGATTTGAAAAAAATGTGAAAATTACAAATGCGAAAGTTTCCGTAGTGTAGTGGTCATCACGTTTGCCTTACACGCAAAAGGTCCCCAGTTCGAAACTGGGCGGAAACAGCAAGAAGGAACTTTTTCTGAAAATCTACTGTGGTATTTTGTTTTTGAACATTAAGGAATTTAACTTTTGTGTTATTTTATCCAAAATTATTGAAAAAAAATATGAAAATGAGAACAATGTAGGTTTCTGTAGTGTAGTGGTCATCACGTTTGCCTAACACGCAAAAGGTCCCCAGTTCGAAACTGTGCGGAAACAACAACAACAACAAGAAGGAACTTTTTCTGAAAATCTACTGTGGTATTTTGTTTTTGGACATTAAGGAATTTAACTTTTGTGTTATTTTATCCAAATTTATTGAAAAAAATGTGAAAATTAGAACCATGTAAGTTTCTGTAGTGTAGTGGTCATCACGTTTGTCTAACACGCAATAGGTCACCAGTTAGAAACTGGACGGAGACAACATAAAGGAGCTCTGTCTGAAAATCTACTGTGGTATTTTGTTTTTAGACATTAAGGAATTTAACTTTTGTGTTATTTTATCCAAAATTATTGAAAAAAATATGAAAATGAGTACAATGTAGGTTTCGTAGTGTAGTGGTCATCACGTTTACCTAACACGCAAAAGGTCCCCAGTTCGAAACTGGGCGGAAACAATTTGAAGGAGCTCTTAATCAAAATCTACTGTGGTATTTTGTTTTTGAACATTAAGGAATGTAACTTTTGTGTTATTTTATCCAAAATTATTGAAAAAAATATGAAAATAAGTACAATGTAGGTTTCCGTAGTGTAGTGGTCATCACGTTTGCCTAACACGCAATAGGTCCTCAGTTCAAAACTGGGCGGAAACAACATGAAGAAACTTTTTCTGAAAATCCACCTGATTTTTCTTGGGTGTTTTAGGACATTGAGGATTTTTTTGTGTTATTTTATGCAAAATGATTTGAAAAAAATGTGAAAATTACAGCTGTGCAAGTTTCATTACTGTAGTGGTTAGTACGTTTGCCTAAGACGCAAAAAGTCCACAGTTCGAAACTGGGTGGAAACAACAACAAGAAGGAACTTTTTCTGAAAATCTACTGTGGTATTTTGTTTTTGGACATTAAGGAATTTAACTTTTGTGTTATTTTATCCAAATTTATTGAAAAAAATGTGAAAATTAGAACCATGTAAGTTTCTGTAGTGTAGTGGTCATCACGTTTGTCTAACACGCAATAGGTCACCAGTTAGAAACTGGGCGGAAACAACATGAAGGAGCTCTTTCTGAAAATCTACTGTGGTATTTTGTTTTTGGACATTAAGGAATTTACCTTTTGTGCTATTTTATCCAAAATGATCAAAAAAAATGAAAATTAGAACAGTGTAGGTTTCTGTAGTGTAGTGGTTATCATGTTTGCCTAACACGCAATAGGTCCCCTGTTAGAAACTGGGCGGAAACAACATGAAGGAGCTCTTTCTGAAAATCTACTGTGGTAATTTGTTTTTGGACATTAAGGAATTTAACATTTGTGTTATTTTATACAAAATTATTGAAAAAAATATGAAAATGAATATAATGTAGGTTTCCGTGGTGAAGTGGTCATCACGTTTGCCTCACACGCAAAAGGTCCCCAGTTTGAAACTGGGCGGAAACAATTTGAAGGAGCTCTTAATGAAAATCTACTGTGGAATTTTCTTTTTGGACATTAAGGAATTTAACTTTTGTGTTTTTTTTTTATCCAAAATGATTGAGAAAAATTTTCCATTTTGGATTTGGACCTTTTGCGTGCAAGATTCATTACTGTAGTGGTTAGCACGTTTGCCTAACACGCAAAAAGTCCTCAGTTCGAAACTGGGCAAAAACAACAACAAGAAGGAACTTTTTCTGAAAATCTACTGTGGTATTTTGTTTTTGGACATTAATGAATTTAACTTTTGTGTTATTTTATCCAAAATGATAGAAAAAAATGTGAAAATTACAACATTGTAGGTTTCCGTAGTGCAGTGGTCATCACGTTTGCCTCACATGCAAAAGGTCCCCAGTTCGAAACTGGGCGGAAACAACAAGAAGGAACTTTTTCTGAAAATCTACTGTGGTATTTTGTTTTTGGACATTAAGGAATTTAACTTTTGTGTTATTTTATCCAAAATGTTCAAAAAAAATATGAAACAATTTAAATAAACTTTTTCTGAAAATCAACTAAATTTTTCTTGTGCGTTTTAGGACATTGAGGATTTTATCTTTTTGTGTTATTTTGTCCATTATGATTGGAAAAAATTGTAAAAATTACAAATCTGTAAGTTTCCGTAGTGTAGTGGTCATCACGTTTGCCTTACACGCAAAAGGTTTCCAGTTTGAAACTGGGTGGAAACAGCAAGAAGGAAATTTTTCTGAAAATCTACTGTGGTATTTTGTTTTTGGTCATTAAGGAATTTAACTTTTGTGTTATTTTATCCAAATTTATTGAAAAAAATGTGAAAATTAGAACCATGTAAGTTTCTGTAGTGTAGTGGTCATCACGTTTGTCTAACACGCAATAGGTCACCAGTTAGAAACTGAACGGAGACAACATAAAGGAGCTCTGTCTGAAAATCTACTGTGGTATTTTGTTTTTAGACATTAAGGAATTTAACTTTTGTGTTATTTTATCCAAAATTATTGAAAAAAATATGAAAATGAGTACAATGTAGGTTTCCGTAGTGTAGTGGTCATCACGTTTGCCTAACACGCAAAAGGTCCCCAGTTCGAAACTGGGCGGAAACAATTTGAAGGAGCTCTTAATGAAAGTCTACTGTGGTATTTTGTTTTTGGACATTAAGGAATTTAACTTTTGTGTTATTTTATCCAAAATGATCAAAAAAATGTAAAAATTACAACAGTGTAGGTTTCCGTATTGTAGTGGTCATCACGTTTATATGCAAAAGGTCCCCAGTTCGAAACTGGGTGGAAACAACAAGAAGGAACTTTTTCTGAAAATCTACTGTGGTATTTTGTTTTTGGACATTAAGAAATTTAACTTTTGTGTTATTTTATCCAAAATTATTGAAAAAAATATGAAAATGAGTACAATGTAGGTTTCCGTAGTGTAGTGGTCATCACGTTTGCCTAACATGCAAAAGGTCCACAGTTCGAAACTTGGCGGAAACAACATGAAGAAACTTTTTCTGAAAATCCACCTGATTTTTCTTGTGTGTTTTAGGACATTGAGGATTTTTTTTGTGTTATTTTATGCAAAATGATTTGAAAAAAATGTGAAAATTACAGCTGTGCAAGTTTCATTATTATAGTGGTTAGCACGTTTGCCTAACACGCAAAAAGTCCTCAGTTCGAAACTGGGCGGAAACAACAACAAGAAGGAACTTTTTCTGAAAATCTACTGTGGTATTTTGTTTTTGGACATTAATGAATTTAACTTTTGTGTTATTTTATCCAAAATGATAGAAAAAAATGTGAAAATTACAACAGTGTAGGTTTCCGTAGTGTAGTGGTCATCACGTTTGCCTCCAATATGTAATAGGTCCCAGTTCAAAACTGGGCGGAAACAGCAAGAAGGAACTTTTCTGAAAATCTACTGTGGTATTTTGTTTTGGACATTATAGAATTTAACTTTTGTGTTATTTTTTATCCAAAAATGATTTGAAAAAAATTGGGTAGAAAATTACAAATGCAAAAGTTTCCGTGAGTGTAGTGGCTCTCATCACGCATGCCTTACACGCGAAAGGTCTCCCAGTTCAAACTGGGCGGAAACAACATGAAGGAGCTCTTTCTGAAAATCTACTGTGGTATTTTGTTTTTGGACATTAAGGAATTTAACTTTTGTGTTATTTTATCCAAAATGATTTGAAAAAAATGTGAAAATTACAAATGCGTAAGTTTCCGTAGTGTAGTGGTTATCATGTGTGCCTAACACGCAATAGGTCCCCAGTTAGAAACTGGGCGGAAACAACATGAAGGAGCACTTTCTGAAAATCTACTGCGGTAATTTGTTTTTGGACATTAAGGAATTTAACTTTTGTGTTATTTTATCCAAAATTATTGAAAAAAAATATGAAAATGAGAACAATGTAGGTTTCTGTAGTGTAGTGGTCATCACGTTTGCCTAACACGCAAAAGGTCCCCAGTTCAAAACTGGGTGGAAACAACAAGAAGGAACTTTTTCTGAAAATCTACTGTGGTATTTTGTTTTTGGACATTAATGAATTTAACTTTTGTGTTATTTTATCCAAAATGATAGAAAAAATGTGAAAATTACAACAGTGTAGGTTTCCGTAGTGTAGTGGCTATCATGTTTGCCTAACACGCAATAGGTCCTCAGTTCAAAACTGGTTGGAAACAACACAAGGAAACTTTTTCTGTAAATCCACTGTGGTATTTTGTTTTTGGACATTAAGGAATTTAACTTTTGTGTTATTTTATCCAAAATGTTCAAAAAAATATGAAACAATTTAAATAAACTTTTTCTGAAAATCAACCAAATTTTTCTTGTGTGTTTTAGGACATTGAGGATTTTATCTTTTTTTTTATCTTTTATCTTTTCAAATATGAAACTTCAAACAGTGTAGGTTTCAGTAGTATAGTGGTTATCACGTTTGCCTATCACGCAAAAGGTTCTCAGTTCGAAACTGGGCGGAAACAACATGAAGAAACTTTTTCTGAAAATCCACCTGATTTTCCGTAGTGTAGTGGTCATCACGTTTGCCTTACACGCAAAAGGTCCCCAGTTCGAAACTGGGCGGAAACAGCAAGAAGTAACTTTTTCTGAAAATCTACTGTGGTATTTTGTTTTTGGACATTAAGGAATTTAACTTTTGTGTTATTTTATCCAAAATGATTTGAAAAAAATGTGAAAATTACAAATGCGTAAGTTTCCGTAGTGTAGTGGTCATCACGTTTGCCTAACACGCAAAAGGCCCCCAGTTCGAAACTGGGCGGAAACAACATGAAGGAGCTCTTTCTGAAAATCTACTGTGGTATTTTATTTTTGGACATTAAGGAATTTAACTTTTGTGTTATTTTATCCAAAATTATTGAAAAAAAATATGAAAATGAGAACAATGTAGGTTTCTGTAGTGTAGAAGTCATCACGTTTGCCTAACACGCAAAAGGTCCCCAGTTCGAAACTGGGCGGAAACAACAACAAGAAGGAACTTTTTCTGAAAATCTACTGTGGTATTTTGTTTTTGGACATTAAGGAATTTAACTTTTGTGTTATTTTATCCAAATTTATTGAAAAAAATGTGAAAATTAGAACCATGTAAGTTTCTGTAGTGTAGTGGTCATCACGTTTGCCTAACACGCAATAGGTCACCAGTTAGAAACTGGACGGAGACAACATAAAGTAGCTCTGTCTGAAAATCTACTGTGGTATTTTGTTTTTAGACATTAAGGAATTTAACTTTTGTGTTATTTTATCCAAAATTATTGAAAAAAATATGAAAAGTAGTACAATGTAGGTTTCCGTAGTGTAGTGGTCATCACGTTTGCCTAACACGCAAAAGGTCCCCAGTTCGAAACTGGGCGGAAACAATTTGAAGGAGCTCTTAATGAAAATCTACTGTGGAATTTTCTTTTTGGACATTAAGGAATTTAACTTTTGTGTTATTTTATCCAAAATTATTGAAAAAAATATGAAAATGAGAACAATGTAGGTTTCCGTAGTGTAGTGGTCATCACGTTTGCCTCACACGCAAAAGGTCCCCAGTTCGAAACTGGGCGGAAACAACAAGAAGGAACTTTTTCTGAAAATCTACTGTGGTATTTTGTTTTTGGACATTAATGAATTTAACTTTTGTGTTATTTTATCCAAAATGATAGAAAAAAAATGTGAAAATTACAACTGTGTAGGTTTCCGTAGTGTAGTGGCTATCATGTTTGCCTAACATGCAATAGGTCCCCAGTTCAAAACTGGGTGGAAACAACAAGAAGGAACTTTTTCTGAAAATCTACTGTGGTATTTTGTTTTTGGACATTAAGGAATTTAACTTTTTGTGTTATTTTATCTAAAATGATAAAAAAATATATGAAAATTGGAACAGTGTAGGTTTCCGTAGTGTAGTGGTGATCACGTTTGCCTCACACGCAAAAGGTCCCCAGTTTGAAACTGGGAAGAAACAACAAGAAGGAACTATTTCTGAAATTCCACTGTGGTATTTTGTTTTTGGACATTAAGGAATTTAACTTTTGTGTTATTTTATCCAAAATTATCAAAAAAAAAATGAAAATTAGAACAGTGTAGGTTTCGTAGTGTAGTGGTTATCACGTTTGCCTAACACGCAAAAGGTCCCCAGTTCGAAACTGGGCGGAAACAACAACAAGAAGGAACTTTTTCTGAAAATCTACTGTGGTATTTTGTTTTTGGACATTAAGGAATTTAACTTTTGTGTTATTTTATCCAAAATGATAGAAAAAAATGTGAAAATTACAACAGTGTAGGTTTCTGTAGTGTAGTGGTCATCATGTTTGCCTAAAACGCAATAGGTCCCCAGTTCGAAACTGGGTGGAAACAACAAGAAGGAACTTTTTCTGAAAATCTACTGTGGTATTTTGTTTTTGGACATTAAGGAATTTAACTTTGTGTTATTTTATCCAAAATTATTTGAAAAAAATGTGAAAATTACAACAGTGTAGGTTTCCGTAGTGTAGTGGTTATCACGTTTGCCTAACACGCAAAAGGTCCTCAGTTCGAAACTGGGCGGAAACAACAAGAAGGAACTTTTTCTGAAAATCTACTGTGGTATTTTGTTTTTGGACATTAAGGAATTTAACTTTTGTGTTATTTCATCCAAAATTATTAAAAAAATATGAAAATGAGTACAATGTACGTTTCCGTAGTGTAGTGGTCATCACGTTTGCCTAACACGCAAAAGGTCCCCAGTTCGAAACTGGGCGGAAACAATTTGAAGGAGTTCTTAATGAAAGTCTACTGTGGTATTTTGTTTTTGGACATTAAGGAATTTAACTTTTGTGTTATTTTATCCAAAATGATCAAAAAAATGTGAAAATAACAACAGTGTAGGTTTCCGTAGTGTAGTGGTTATCACGTTTGTCTAACACGCAATAGGTCACCAGTTAGAAACTGGGCGGAAAAAACATGAGGGAGCTCTTTCTGAAAATCTACTGTGGTATTTTGTTTTTGGACATTAAGGAATTTAACTTTTGTGTTTTTTTTTTATCCAAAATGATTGAGAAAAATTTTCCATTTTGGATTTGGACCTTTTGCGTGCAAGTTTCATTACTGTAGTGGTTAGCACGTTTGCCTAACACGCAAAAAGTCCTCAGTTCGAAACTGGGCAAAAACAACAACAAGAAGGAACTTTTTCTGAAAATCTACTGTGGTATTTTATTTTTGGACATTAAGGAATTTTACTTTTGTGTTATTTTATCCAAAATGATAAAAGAAAATATGAAAATTAGAACAGTGTAGGTTTCTGTAGTGTAGTGGTCATCACGTTTATATGCAAAAGGTCCCCAGTTCGAAACTGGGTGGAAACAACATGAAGGAGCTCTTTCTGAAAATCTACTGTGGTATTTTGTTTTTGGACATTAAGGAATTTAAATTTTGTGTTATTTTATCCAAAATTATTGAAAAAAATTAGAAAATTAATAAAGTGTAGGTTTCTGTAGTGTAGTGGTCATCACGTTTGCCCAACACGCAAAAGGTCCCCAGTTCGAAACTGGGCGGAAACAATTTGAAGGAGCTCTTAATGAAAAACTACTGTAGAATTTTCTTTTGGACATTAAGGAATTTTACTTTTGTGTTATTTTATCCAAAATGATAAAAAAAAATATGAAAATTAGAACAGTGTAGGTTTCCGTAGTGTAGTGGTTATCATTGTAACCCGCACCAGCGACACGCAAATTAATTAGTTAATTAGGGGAGTCCTTATTATTGTGGGCCATTTCCCTTTAAATAGCCTCCTATGCGCAAGATCGCTCTAACTGTGTCTCTCTTCGCATCTGACTGCTGTGCTGCTGTGGCAAACTGCTGTGGCAAACTGCTGTCGTCACACGGCTGTGTAATTTACACACTCTAAGCGGACTTCTGGCGATTTCAAAGGCATCTTGATTTAATTCCCGGTAAGACTCGCAAACAATAATAAAGCGTTGATGCTAAGCTAGCGGAGTTTTTTCTTTCTCTGTTTAAACAATAAATATTGACTTTAAATTGTAATCTTCGATGATATAGATTGTTTGTTTACGTTACTTATCAGTTTGATTTTGATTTGTTTGGAATCATATTGATCTTTTTGTTACAAACACCGCTTTGGTTATACTTATGTTTGTATATGAAATTGCATGTGTTTCTTTCTGGAAAAGAAGATAAGACTTTGATTTAATAACTTGAGATTTAATGATGAGATTATTTTTTATGAAATGAACTTTTTGATGCATTATATATATTTTTTTTTTAGAATCTTTAATGAAATATTCATCCACATGATTGTATATTTTGATTTATGTTATGAAAATTGTGATATGTGTTAATGTGTTTTTTCCTTTGACCTTGTTTAGGTCAGGTTTTTTTTGTTGTGGATTTTCTTCTGA